CTCACTCTCTTTTCGCTCCAGCAATGGAAGTCGGAGACAAGGGTTTTACAAATCTAGGCAGGTCTTTACAAGTCAGTCAGGCTTTTACAACTCTGAGGCTAGGCTCCGAAAATTTTGCAAAAGTCTGACATGCCGCTGCTTCTATGCGACCTAAGACCTAAAAACAGTTTACTCACCAAGCGCTCCGGAGCTAGCACGTGTGCCTGCGCCTGCCACCCCTATCCACGTCCCCGAGAGTTGCGTAGCGATGTGCTTTGTCGGAGATAAAGCGCGAAAAAACGTTTGAAAGGATCCTGAGAGGCGTCGAAAGACATCTCAGCTCGCCTGGCCATGCCATCTTGGATATAGATCTTTGCTGTGCGTTCACTGCTCCACCGTCCCATGTGGCGGACCGCATCGAAATTGGGCTGCTTGCACAAAGGCACTGGAGGAGGTCTTCAGGCAAAGGGGGCGTTGAGGCATTTCGCGTTTTTGCCAAGTTCGGACCAGGCGCCAGGACAGCGCTAAGTGGCCGCGAAAACGGGGGCGGAAGTCCTGCAGGCCCGAAAGACCATCTGTGGCCAAAGAGAGGCTTTCGCCTTCCTCCCAAAGGTGTTCTATATACTCTGCAAAGACGCTGTCAACGCCTTCCGCAAGATCCGGGATGCGGATGCGCTGGATTTGCGCGTACAAGTAGAAAGCTCTCAAAGCAGCGTCGTAGCGCTGGCGGGTTCGTTGTGCTACCGTGTTGGACCGCAAAGTTCCTAAACGTTGTCTCTCCACCTTTCTTTCCTGCTTAGTTCGTGCTGCTACCCCTACTTTGCCCATTTGCGTTTCATGCGGCTTAGTCGCCGACTGGGTGTGTCGGCCAGGTTCGTAGTGCTGGACACGTAACACAGGAAAGGGTGGAGGCAATGCGATACATCAAAGATTGTATTTTTCGGGAACTTGAGCGTCCACGTGAGACGACGTGCAAACAGACCATAGAATCAGCAGAAAGCAACATAATACGGGCCTGCGTTTTTGGGTTTTCCGTGTTTAAGGTAAAGGCGCAAACTGTTTGTTATAGGCCCATATAGTTTGTTTGCCTTCACGTGTGTTACTGATTCCGGTACTTCTTGTACATGCGAGGTCTACTTGCTTCAAGTTCATGATGCTGTTATCTTCTACGCAGAGTCTTATATAATAGATAGCTAACGAATAAAGGCCTTAAAACGTAAGTCTTCAAGGTTGGATTGTCCTTTGCAGGAAAGATCGGGAGGTGGGGGGGGGGGGGGGGGGCGGCCAAAAAAAATATAATAAAACATAAAAACGTTTTTGTTTTTTGCCGGTTCCCCCCTGGAGGGATGCCAAGGTTCTGATACTCCTCGGCGGTCATGTCGGCGTCCTCCACTTCCGAAGTAGCTCCTGGCGCTCCGAAGGAGATTTCCGACTCATTCAACTCGTCTTCGGGATTTGGCCTGCCCTCTCCTTGAACATCTCGGTAATGTTTGATGTTGCCCGAGCTGATGTCCTCGAGGATCTCAGAAGACATGATCTTGACTAGCTCGGCATCCAAGTTCTCGTCATTGTTGGCCAAGAAGATATCCTCGTAAGCTGATCCAGAGTTGCATTGGTCGAGGACTCTGGCGACGTGGCCTTGGGCATCCACGGCTGTAGTTGTTCTCGTCTAAGGAACTCGGATCCAAAAAGTCCTGGAAGTCTGCTGGATGTATAGTAGATTACGTCGCCATCCGCGTTTCAGTGCATATCGCCATTGGCCGCGTATCGCCACATGTGCACCGCCGGTTGGTCAGCTCCGACAAGGACACGCTCGGAGCCTCCTGCGGTATGGGCGGTGTCTGGTCAGCAGACACTTCGGCGAACACTTGAAAGGGGTCTTTGCCATGGATTTTAAATTGGTCCGGAAGCGCCCACGGCTGTCCTTGGAACTCGAACATATTGACTGCTCGATGTTCTGATGGCAATCGCTGCATCCCAGTGGCACGCGGCCGTCCGGAGTGAACAAGCGGTTGTTGGCCAAGTCGACGTTCGCTCCGATCGCTTCCAAGAAGGAAATTGGGAGCAGTGGCCGGGTGGTGAAGGCACCGTCCTTCAGAACACTGAACCGTAACAGACCGTGCACTCCAGCCACTGCTATGGGAACATCCTCCAGTCCTAGAAGACTGGCCTCTCCGCCAATTCCCGCGCAAGGGGTTTGTGGCCCGGCGGGATCTGCTGGCTGAGTCTGCAGCCCATGCTGTTGTAGTCCCTGTTGTGAAGCTCGTAGTGCTCCTTCGCCGATAACCGCATCTTCAGCAGCCGACTAATGCTTCAAAGGCTCTCACAGTGATACCCGCAAAGACTCGGGATACTCGCTCCGGAGACTTCTGGGCCGACACGATCCTCGGCCACGAAGTAATCCTGAAGGCCATCCATACTGTAGTGGAGGTTTGTCCGCCTCGCGAGACCACAAAGTTCACCCTCTTCTCCGGGCCCTTGGGAGTCGCCGTCTTGGGTGGCTCCTTTGCCCGAACCACCTTTGAGTGGACAGTCTCTCGCAAAGTGTCCCAACTCTTGACAGTTGTAGCATCTCGTTCGGCTTTGAAGATCTTCTGAGTTTCCGCGAAAGTATTTCGAGCCCTTTCCAATGCGATTTCCGAGGCCGCGGCTCTTTTTAGACCGGCCACGACCATAGTCCTTTCGTGATGACGCGGAAGAGGAACGTGAGGGACTGGCCTTGTTGTGCTTTATGAAACCCTTCTCGCCTTCGGTCTCGCATGTCCTTCCTCACGTCCGCGTATGCCGAGTGACAGGCTTCTAGGAAGATTGCTTCGTCCTCCTCACACTCCCGGTCTTCCATGTACATTTCGTCCTCGTCCAACTCTTCGGACTCTTCGTCCTCCTTCCCGTCCTGTCCTCCCTCATCTTCCCCTTCATCCTCTGCATTGCCCTCCTGGAAGAAGGGAAGTCCGGCCTTTGCCTCCTCGGAGATGACTGGGTAGTGCTTTGATGCTGTGGAGCCCAGAGTCAGAGCTGCCCCCGCCGCTGGGCCAACATTTCCGGTCTCTCCAAAGGCCGCAACATCGACGCCACCTGTTCCTGCTTAGAGACCTCCTTGCCCTCGATGAAGCTCGCGAAAGATTCTCCTTTCGCTCTCTCTACAGGAATTTGTCCACTGAGGCTGGACCCTCTATTTCCAGGTAGGGACGATATTTCCGGATGAGGGCATTCAGGACCATCTGGTACCCGGTGGGCTTCAGCAAGTCCTCCATTGGTATCTGCTCCGCAATCTTCCGGGGCTGGAAGTTCTCGGTGAAGCTTTGACACAACCTCAATCCCCAGCGTTCGCGGCTCAGAGTGGTTTCGGCTTCCCAAAGTGCTAGGAGTTTGAGCCAGCTACTGAAGGTGTTCGGCTGTCCATTCCAGCTGGGAATTTGTTTCCGCTCACCGGTGATAGCCGCAATGAAGCGTTCTTCCAGCCAAAATGTATATATATATATATATATATATTATACATATACACATGATATATATATATATATATGTGTGTGTGTGTGTGCATGTCCTAATTTCGTCCTAGACCCTTTAAACCCTCGCGATCGGACTCCTTTTTTTTCTCAGGCGAGGCAGCTGTCACTTGTGAGCTGTGCTCTTTGCGAGCTGTCACACTTGTGGTGAGCTGTGCTCTTATTTGCGAGCTGTCACACTAAAGGGTGAGCTGTGCTCTTTGCGAGC